CTGTTTAAGAAACACTTTGGGATTCACAAATTACAAGACCAAAAAAAAAAAAAAATCTGAATAAAAGAAAAGTACAGTTGAATTTCCCAGGGTGGAGCAGGAATCATGAACCAACTCCATTCAAAGCCTTCGGAGTGGATGCATGTAAATGAGGTTTGCTCTGGGCCCCTGAATGTTTCCTCCCTGCAATCTGTTCACCCTTCTGTGTCACTCATTCTTCACACCCTTTAGGCCTTTCCTTCCCTCTTGCTGACTAGAAAGAGAATTTGATAAACTCAGTCATGCCAAGATGTCCCAGGTGGAAGCAATTTAATGTGCCACCTCTCCTTGCAAAAAGGCTGGCAGGTAAGAAAAATCAAGTCAGTGGTGTCATATTAGTGGCCTGGATACATGTGAGAAGTTTTTTCTCTGCTTAAATTAAAAAAATAAAATAAAATAAAGCCAGGGAAGCTTGATCCTCTCATCACCTTTATGTTGACAAAACATGACTTAACAATTGGCCCCTGCCCTCCATGAACTTCCTGTGTAGCTGTGGCATTTATAGGCTACTTTTTTCCTTGTTCTAGAGACAATTTAATGATGAACATGCTCCCCAATACTAATTATAACTACTCTGTCCTTACTGCACTAACAGAGACTAAGTCAAATGTATCTGGATGTACGAAGCCCATACTGCAGATTTCTCAGCTAGCAAATAAAAGGCAGACATTTTAGCCTGACATTCAAGGCCTTCCAGGATCTGACACTACCTGCCTATTCAATCTAGTTTCTCAACCAAATGCAGCTATACTATTTCAAGCCCTTGGCATACCCTATATTTCCATGCTTTTAAAAGGTATCTATTGCAATGGAAACAAATTGCCCCAAACTTACTGGTTAAAACAATAAACATTTTCTTATTATCAGTTTCTGTGGGATAAGAATTTAGAAGACCCTTAGCTGGGTGAAATGGTAATTGTTATAATACTATCTGATGGGGTTAAAACATAAAACAGATAAATTTGGAGCTGTTCTAGCTGAATTAGGAGAGAGCCAGAGGATCACTCAGTTGACATCACCGCCACTGGTTGCCACCTCTAAGGGCATTAACTCAGGACCCTGGAGATAAACACCAGCCATTCTAGTGGTTTTACTGATCAGGAAGTTGTACAGGTGAGTAAGTATTTTACCCAAGGCAACTTGGCTAGTTAATGATAACCAGGACTAGAATCCATTTCCCTCAACTCATAAGCTTATGTTCACTGATGGTAGATATTGTTTTACAGAATATGTCAGATATATGGGAGGCAAGGTCAAGCAGTAATTTATCTCAATATTTTGGAATATGGTTGATCTCACCAATTAGAATGTGAATTTCTCAAGAAAAAGTATCATTTTCAATTTTATAAACTCCAGTAGTGCCTAACACAGGGATACTAAGTATTTGGACACATTTTTAGTTATCTCTTAAATTCGTATGCATTCTAAGTCCAATATACTCACATCAAGCAAAAAAATGAAATGGGGCAGGGACTATGAGTTCTTTTAAATCTATAATAATAAAAGACTACAGGTTTAAAAGTGTAATATGCTAATTAGACCAGATGACCTTCTGGACAAAGCCAGGGCTGTGAGGGAAGCCTGGGTCCTGGGTGCCAGAGGGAAGCCAGTGCAGGCAGCAGGGGGAAGGAAGGCCTATTATAGCATGAATTTCGTGCATTGGGCCTCTAGTAAATACATATGTGCATGCATAAGCATTTACACCATGGAATACTATTTGGCTGTAAAAAAGAAGGGAGTCTTATCCTTTGCAATAGCATGGATGGACCTGGAGAGTATTATGCTAAATGAAATAAACCAGTTAGAAAAAGACAAGGACCAAATGATTTCACTTATATGTGGAGTCTAATAAATAAAATAAAATAAAAAAATAAACTCACAGAGACAGAAAACAGATTGACAGCCGTTAGAGGGGAGGGGTTTGGGGGGTTAGGTGAAAAAGATGAACGAATTTAGAAAAAACAAACTCAGATACAGAAAACAGTATGGTGATTACCAGAGAGAAAGGGTGGGAGACAGAGAAGAGGATAAAGGGGGAATAAATGGTGACAGAAGATTTGACTTGAGGTGGCAATACACTATACAGATGATGTATTGTAGAGTTGTACACTTGGAACCTACATACTTTTGCTAACCAATGTCACCCCAATAAATCCAATCTATACTAATAAAAGGGTAATATGCTAATTAGACTGGGCATCTTCCAGACATCCTTCTGGACAAAGCCACGGTGGCAGGGGCTGAGGCAGAGGCGGTTAGGGGGCAACCAGGCCAGCAGGGGAGCAGTTAGGGGGCAGCCAGGCCGGCAAGCGGAGGCAGTTAGGGGCGATGAGGCAGCAGGCAGGCGAGCAATTAGGAGCCAGCGGTCCCAGATTGTGAGGGGGATGTTCGACTGCTGGTCTAGGCCCTGTGGGATCGGGCCTAAACCAGTAGTTGGACATCCCCCGAGGGGTCCTGGATTATGAGAGGGTGTAGGCCAGGCTGAGGGACCACTCCCCCTGCACTAATTTTGTGCACCGGGCCTCTAGTTAAAATATAAAAAAAGAGATTATCATATCTCTCAAAGCAAATAGATGCAATTTTAAACAATTTCCAGCAAGATTTGGAATGATTTTGCCTCATTTTTTAATTATCAAGCATGCCAGATTGGTATTTTTCCTATATTCAGATAAATAGAAATGTTTGTTAATATTTCTGTAATAGTTCAACTTGTTAATTAAATCCTAAGGTACTTTGTTTATCTGAGCACACTGATTAGCAGGCCTCTCTTCTTAGAGAAAGAGAAGTTTTTTCTAAAAAATAAGTTTTAAATATTTCTGGTTCCACTACAGGTTTAGAAATAAAATGTTGAAGTAATATAATTGAGCCAGGATTGTTCACTTCTCTCCCCCTCCCCTGAGGTGCTCCAGGGGAGTAAATTAAGTGCTCAAAGAAGTGCATTAAAATAAGGAGTCTCCTTGTGGCTAAGAGTGCCTGAGAATCCCATGTCCCTAACTTTTTATCAGAGTGACTTATGCCCTGGGGAACTTCTCCATCACTACAACTAAGGTTACATCAATGGATTTTTAAAAGAGTACACTGTAAGAGGGATTACATACAAACATTTTATTAAATGTTAGTTATATCAACCAAAGCTATCAAATATTAATCTCATAATAATTAGCACCAGCTACTGGATATGTCTTTGTTTAATTAAACTGACTTGACAAAACTATTTACTTCTATCAGACTAGCCCAGGACGGGTACCTATGAAAAGAAGCTAGAAAATATCTTCATTGCTTCCTTACCAGTGTTTGGTATTTTAAATATATATATATATATTCCGTGATATATTTTTTAATCCAGAAGCTTGACCCACATTTAATTAAAAAAATAAGAGATACAATGTCAATTATACAAGTATGTCACAGAAAATTACACACCTTACCATTTAAAAAAAAATCTTGTCCTTTAAAAACTCAAACATCTTTTCTAATAACTAAGACTATGTACAATTCAGTATAAACCATTTTCATACAACTATTATTAACAATGAAGCAGTTACACATAAACATGTAAACATTTAAAAACTGAACTTCTTTGAAATGTAAGTACAGCAAGTCAACTCCATCTGCATTATAGTTTAAGATAAATAGAACACTGAAGAAAACTACTAGGATATAAATGGTGATCAGTTTAATGACTGCTCAATAATTCACTCTTTAAAAAACAATGAGTTTTGATAAATTCTGACCCTTAGGAACAGACATTTTTCCTGACAACGCCCTTCTCTTTTTGTTCATGGTATATCACTTTATATGGTAAGGTTGTTCCTCACTCATGGCAACACAGGTGGTTGTAGTCAAATGGCATTTGACATAAATTGATCCAAACTGCCCTACAATTTCATTTTGTGTTGAATTAATTAACTTCTTGATAGGCGGCTGAGGAGCTGAACATAAGCCTAAAGAAATATCTCACACATGAAATGTCTCTAAATAAGGGGCCTTCCATTCTTAATAAGTAGTGCCAGGTAAGCCCTAGCCAGTTTGGCTCAGTGGACAGAGTGTTGGCCCTTGGACTCAAGGGTCCAGGTTCGATTCTGGTCAAGGTCACATTATCTAGGTTGCAGGTTGGTCAGGGCGCCTTTGGGAGGCAACCAATCAATGGCTCTCTCTCTGTCTCTCCCCCTTCCTTCCACTCTCTCTAAAATAAAATAAAAATATAGTACCAGGTAAAATACATTTTGTAGGACCCTAAAGGGTAAAGATAAAGCATTTATAATAAATGGATTTAGTTTTCGACGTATATGCACATCTATTTAAAAGAAGTCAGGGGGCACTGCAGACAGTTGAGGAAGATTTAATAAAACCCACTAAAAGTTGGCATGCCTGACATTTTGAAAAACTGTTTACCTAAGGAGGTGTGTGTTTGTAATAAAACGTCTTTGTTGTCCTTTGCATAAAAGTTCCCACTTTGCAGCAATTAAAAATACTATCTTAATGCTGTTGTAATTTATATCCCAGAGCTTGAGATGTAAATGTAATTTTCTAAGATATTATCTTCAGATCATCAGAATTATCGTATCATAAAGTGTCTATTTCGTTTCTCCAATTATTTTATCAAGATATGACAGCTAACCCTTTGTTTCAAGTTTATAGCCTTCATATACCAAGAAACAAATTAAAAAGACAAATGAGGAAAGTGAAAAGCCATCTCATAAAAAGCTGAAATGTCTTTTATTATATGGCATATTTTTCTCTGTCATAAACTTCCAGTTTAGGAAATGAGGAAACAAGTACTTCTTTTTTTAAAATCCTTACCCTAGGATATTTTTTCCATTGATTTTTAGAGAGTAGAAGAGAGAAAGACAGAGAGAAATATCAATGTGAGAGAAACACATCGATTGGTTGCACCCTGACCAGGGGCCCAGGCCTGGGAGGAGCCTGCAAGGAAGGTATGTGCCCTTGACCAGAATCAAACCCAGGACCCTTCAGTCAGCAAGGCGATGCTCTATCCACTGAGCCAAATCAGTGAGGGCACAAATACTTCTTTTGATGAACTCCTTAGCAAAGTGTTTAACTCAGTATTTTTAGAGCTGTTTTTGTTTTTGTTTTTTGCTTTGAGAGGAAGGGAGGGAGGAGAAAAGGAGGGGGAGAAGAGATCCAACTTTGTAATACACCTTTGGGGAGAACTGAACTAACATTTAATGAGAACAATGTCAAAGGAAGTGCAGCTGAAGACTTCAGCCCAATTTCAACAGCTTTGTAACATGGGCCCCTAGAAACAGCCTGAATGATTTTGGCGGGGGAGGTAGGCCTTGGTCAGGTTTCACCTAAATGGTTCTAGGAAGAAGGACTTCAGCCTTGCTTCAAAGCGCCCCACTGGGGGAACAACTGCTAGGTAATTTCTTTATGAATAAATTCTGTTTCCTGTACAACTTAAAGCCTTCTTGATATAATATGCATGAACAGAAATGACAAGAATATAACTTGGAAGTTTTAACTCTGGTTTGTTATAAAGGCTTTTTAGATACCAGTTTCAGGAACAATTTTGCCTTACAGCACCTTCTAGCTCAATAATTTAGTGGCAATGAGTCACAAATGCTGTTAAAAACAGCAGTGAGGTTTAAAAAAAAATTAAAATAATAAAATCCTTTAGATTTTTAATATGCCATTTACTAAATTGGCAATCACAACAGAAATTTACAAGAGCCTTCTAATTAGAAAAAATAAATTAATCCTACCTTCTTAGGTGTTTACACATGTGCTTGTCTCTAAATTCCAGACAAGCATATAGGGCTTCCTTCTCATCAAATACTAGGTCTATGCTGATGTCGCCAGTCACAAGAGACCTTTTGTATCATTGCTCCCTCGAGTCCCAATTCTTACTAGAATCCTGAGCAAACACAAAAGTAACCTGGCAGTTACATCATTCTATATAAATGAAAAAGACTTTGCTATCTAAAAATAATGAAAGGCTCCATTTAAATTAATGTTATTTTTGTCAAGTGTTCATTTTACTTTGTAATAATGTAGTGCTGATCCAAATAGAGTTCTTATGGGCTTTAAAATTATCTCTAGGGATTATACTTAGGGCAGTAATTTAATTCTTATTTCTTACAATGACATTTAGGGTTCACTGTGATTTGAGATTTTTAGTGCTGCTGCTGACACCTTATGGAAACTGTTTTATTTGGAAATTCTGATTAGATTCTGTTCAGCTCTTGTTTACAAGAAGTATTAATATAAAAATGGATTTTTTTTTTGTTCCTGTAAGGTACTTAATCTCTTGCTATTTATTCTTCACTTATGAAACAGATTTCATAATTCTGTTTGGGTCACTATGATTGGTTGCTATGGAGATTACCTCCTATGGAAATGATTCTGATGTCTTTATTGTAAGAATACGACTTTTAATGAATAATATCAATAGCAGATATCAAACCTTACTAGAAGAAGGAAATCTAATTAAAAATTTTAAAAGGGGGATTAATTCTGAAAGTTATTATCATGGCCCACTTTTCTGATATTTTTTAATTGACCACCTGCTTTTTAAAGTATTAAATTTATTTTAAGATGTTAATCAGCTACTCACGTCCCTAAATTCCTATGTCACAATGAAAATTAGCACCATGCATAGAAAAATGGAAGTAAAAAACATTTCATCTACCTTTTCTCTAAACTAATAAATGTGCTTCACTATGAGAGTTAATGTCTCCAGGATTTCAGGGCTCATCAAGGAGCACATTACAAATTCCCTTTAAAGATGAAGAATTTAATATCCCAAAATTTATCCCAGGAATTTAAAAGGTCAGTGAGTTAACTAGTGAGTTAAACAATAGATGAGAGCCAGTGAACCATTAGATGAGAATTCCAGAATGCTAAGAAGAAATTTTCTTGGGTGGATTCTATAATTTGTGGTTTGAATAAAACTTTTGAAAAATTCCATTAGTATTAAAATTCTCATAATGAGAATATGGTTCATATTTAACCATTTTAAATTACTAGACAGTCTCTCCCCAAAGAAAATTTAATGCTTTCTTCTGCCTAGTTCTTGTTCACTGCCTGGTATTAATTTAGGAATAAATTAACCCTTCCAACAATTAGGATATTGTCTAGAGAGTGCCTCTTGCATTCTGCTGGGGAAATCACTTATATTCTCAAAATCAGAATAAAAGAGAAGTGCATTTCTTCATTATAAAACATTTTTATACCTAATAGCTTATTCATTATTGATTTAAACCACCATCTTAATTACCTACATAATTTTCATCTACAGCGCTTCTGAATCAAACCTCACAGTTACACATTTTGTTAATGTTTTATACATTAAGGGTTTTCTATACTTGTGCCTGCAACCAGGATCTAGGGTCCAAAATGTCCTTGATAGATTTCTGCCTTGGAGTTGGCACTGGCTTTGCTTCAAAACTGGGTCTAGTGTCTGCGTTTTCACCATCAGTTAAACTATTTTTCCAGGAGGGAAGGAGTTTTCGAGGAGCAGCCATTGGTTTCTGTAGGTGATGCACTAGGGTTGACGATTTGGTATCCAAAGACGAGGTCTGAGATATACATGTTTCCCCCCCGTTTTCCTTAACCAATAGATCTGTGTTGCTCTGTGTTTTTAAGCTGAACGGAGCTTTATCAGGAGGAGGAAGGGGAGCCCGTCTCTTTTTCCGTTTTCCATCAGGTAACTGCTTGCTTGCAGGAGATAATATCTCTTTCTGGATGACCACTTGATGGTTACCATCAAAGAGTGCGGCCCAAGGAGGTGGTGAGGGTTCTTCATGCTGACCAATAAGGAACTCTCCATTTGTCTCTTCAATTTTTTTTTGTATTATGTCAGTTAAACTTTCAAGTTTTATAGGTGAATCAATGCCTGTAACAATTTTAAGAAAAAAATACATGGGAAAAATTCAAAACAGATACTTATAACTGAGTAAGTTATTTTCCAAACCAATATGCTATCTATAACAGCCATCAAAAACAGATTAGGATAGCAAGTGGTTTTTAAAGAATCATTAACTTGTAAAAATAGCCATATCAACAGAACCAAATGGGAGATCACGCACTATGCACTGCACACACACGTGCATACATGTACACACGTATATGTATATGCATACATAAATACATGTATTCCTAAGTAAATGAGTAATGTTCAGCTTACAAAGGAATAGAATTACATCAGAATTTTTTCCAATTACCTTCCTGGATTTAAAATCTATTCTGACTTCTAGGTAATAGTGGTTTTCATTTTTATAAAAGCCTGATATATAAACTGGGACAAACACAATGGAGTCTTTCCTGTAGACCAGCAGGTCTCTTTAATAGGGTAAAAATCCAAGACCAAAAACCCAGAGAAAGAGTGAAGCCCTGATACCATTTTGGTGATAAGAATAGTGGGTGAAATTTTCCCTGATTAATAAAGAAGAAAAAACAAACAAACAAAAACAAAACAAGACAAAACCAAAAAAACAGAGGAAAATGTGTAAACTTAAATGTATCATTTTTAATCTAACATTTTCAGGTACATGTGAGTGCAGGGATATTGGGGACAAAAAAGACTAGAATTTAATCTTGACTTGTGCTTATTCACAACACTGTTCACCAAGGCAATCCTACAAAGATAATATCCTTCAAAGTATGAGAAAATGAAATACTATTGAGTCTAAAAATTTTTAATTTTCCAAAGCATTAAACTTCACCAATTTTTTTGCCCGACACAAAAGCTTCCATTTATTAATATTCATTTATCAACACTACTTTAAAACAAATGTAATACAAAAAATTACTAAACATTATTATATTTCACAATCTGCAATTTTACATTTTCAGAATTTTTATCAGCTACTCAGCTAACATTTATTTTAGTGCACCTTCATCCCATTTTGAAACCTTAACATTTTTGTTTGTTAAGCATTCAAACTACAAAAAATGTGTATTCATTAATTTTGTATTAATTCATCTATTAAACATGAGTTCTTTAGTCTATAATCATAGTCTTTTTCATTCATTTTCATTGTGCCCTGAAAAATTTAGCATTTTAATGTCAATAGAATAAGCTGCTTGAATATGGACAATGTTGTTTTTGTTAGCCTGCAGCTTAGAAAAGACAATCCCCACTTACTCATATCATGGTAGACTGAGGTCGCCTCTTTTGTCAAGAACAAAGGTGGTTTCCGTGGTGACATAATCTCAATTTTCATAAGTTTTTCACAACAATGCTTCCATTGGCCTAAGAAAGACAGAAAAGGCAGGCTAGTTTAAAGTATAAATGTGAAGTAGTATGTTTCATTTTTAATAGATATCAACACATTTTTGCTTTGAAAATAAAGCATTATCTTAAGAAAGCCACAAAAATACAGTATTATGTATATTTTAAAGTCCAAGTCTAGGCATAAAAGTTACCTATTTTACAAATAAAATTCTATGCACAGATGTTAAGCTTAAGATCTCTAGGCTATTAAATACTGCACTACTTCACTAAATGGTCAATAACTAAAATTTCTATGTATGGCAAAAGTTTGTACAAATTCTTTTCTTTTAAATATTAAATAAAAATGTCCAGTAATTAAGACAATTTAAAGATAAAAAATCAAATGAAATACAGTTCTAGGAGGAAGTAGGAAAAAAGTAAGGAATAGTGGTTCACAAAAATGATCTCAACTTTGAGAATTCTAATTAAATAAAAATTGGTTATTTAACAATTACCTCTTCAAGGTGATTATTGTGCTTTTAAAAAAATCATGCAACTCTAGAAAAACAATGAATTTTCATTTAAGTAAAAAGTATACAAAAGCCTAGTACTATAAAAACAGAACACTCAAAATTCTAACAGAATCTAATTTATTGAATAATTAAAAAAAAAACCACACACCTCTTGAATAAGTTATTTCAAATTAAATTAAACTTTAAAAGTGTGGACAACAATTTTTCTTTTATTGTATTTTACTATTTTCATCTTAAAATAAAATTCTCAGATTTATTTCTTCTGAGTGAATATAAAAACCCTTAAGCTTTATATATTTATTGTGCACCTGCAAGTTGAATAACAACTGTGTAAGAAACTATGTGTCTATATATTCGTATTATACAAGTTTAAGTTATTGAGGTTCACCATTCTTAAAATCTTACATCAGTAGAAAAGTAAATGTAATACACATGTGCTTTTTTAGACTGATTTATGATCTGTATTTCTTTTCCTTTTAATATATCCTCAATCTCCATATTCAATACCCATCTGAGTTATTTTCCATGGCTTAAAAATTAAAGACATTTCATGTTTAGTCAAATTAGATATTCATTTCTGTTGTTTTAAGTCTGTCATAGCAATATGGTAATATATGCATAAATTTTAAATCCATCACCTTAAATAGTTAAGCAACATGAAAACCTTTCAGTATGTTTTATTATAACGCTAAATACAGAATATCATAAAAATTTCAAAATAACTCACATAGCAACTCATAAAGGGAATAAAATCTTGAGTTTGAGGCTTCAAAGGTTGCCCTGCAGAATTTAAATCTAGTAGGATCTGAGATCTGATAACTTATTCCACCCCTCCACTTCCTTTTTTAGATAAATATATAAAAGCCAGCTTTCCTTCTTGAGGGCAGGAAAAAAGGCCATATCTAATGGAAAAATAATGAAACACTTTAAACTAGCAAACATTTCTCTGTCAAATCTTACACAAATTATAAAGTGCAGTATTTTCTCTATATTGATAGATGAAAGCTTTTGATGATTAAACTGGTAGCAGAATACTAATCATGCTGAAAATTGGAATATAAAGCCACATTATCCCATGTGTTACTGAAGTCTGAGGTACAAAAAGGTGGTATGTTCACTGGTCAAGACTTTACAACGGAAACATTTTACCAGTGAAAAAATTAGTATGCACAGTTACACATGCTGCCAATATGCTAACACAAAAATAAAGACCCAGTATAAAATATTAAATGCATATTTTATGCACATAAAATCTGTATATTGAAGATGTTTCCCACAATATTTATTGTTATAATATTCCCAGTCAAAGTAATCTGTTATGTTAAGCTGCTTATGTAACTCAATATTCATATTATTAAATATTAAAAAAATTATTTTGGGCCCACCATTCCTAGCTCTACCCTTTTTGATCATCCAAGACAAGTAGCATTCCTCTTTTACATGTTTGTTAGCTTTCAAATATTAAAAATTAACTATTACACATAATAGCTATGTATAGTACCAGGGGGGTACTGGAAATATCTGGGGAAGCACTTTGTAAAGTGTATGGTTGTCTGACTACTGTTCTGTATACCTGAAACTAATACAAAATAATACTAAATGTAAACTATAATTTTAAAAATGATTAAAATAATTATATGGGAAAATAATTTAAAATTAACTATTCCATCCCTTTTGCCTCCCAATCTCCACTCAAGAGTGTTCTACAGGCTAAACAGAACTAGTTCCATTAATGTTTTCTTATGATTTCTAATATCTTACTCTTCTAATTTTCTATTCTTAAATGGAGTCAAATTATTGAAAATGGCTCTAAATGTTAAATTACTCTTTATTTTGCCCTGGATATCTATTCTCTACTTTGTTCTACACATCATTATTTCTCCTACAATCACAAGAGGCTACACTTACCACTAGGAAGATAAAAATTTTAAAGTTCAAGTCAATCTTTAGGATAGTATAAACACTTCCATCTTTGCTTCTTTTCTCTATACACAATGAATTCTAAAGTACAAATGTAATATAATTTATACTTTAAAAATCAGATAGATTGGCAGATTTTACCCCTCAAATATTAAGTACTAAAGAAATAGCCAGACCTGAGAACCTTGCTGTCATCACTTTCTTGTTACTTTGAGAGTACAAAAACGCCAGGAGAGTCTTATCCCTCTAATTTTTAGCATGATAAATTATTTTACCCTATCTGGAGAATGAAAACATGAGATCATCTAGTAGAAGTTGATATCCAAACTATATAATATCCTGGAATTTTTACTTTCTTTTACCTTTTCTCCCTGTTTTTATGTATATAAAAATTATAAAATACCAGAATTATTTTCTAAAAATAACAGTGTTTTGTAAGACAGATTCTCTAAATTACAGCATTTAGGGAAGCAGTTAAAATTTTAGCTGTGATTAGCAAACAAAAGGAAGTTGTTGTTCTTTAGGCAATACACCTACGATAGCTGAAATTTTAAAAGAAAGAAATGTGATGCATGCTGATAAGCATGGAACAAATATTTAAACATCTACTAAATGCTGAGGGATAGTACTTAAGGAAAAACAAGTCCTAAAGAATCCAAGGCCATGAAAAAGTCCTCCCTCTGATTCCCTGTAGCAAACTAGAAACCTCTTCAGACTCAATTTTCTCATCTTTAGAGCAGAGGGAAATAATTTCTACATCACTGAGATGTTATGAGAAATAAATGAAGCCATATGGTATGTGGAAGGTAATCAAATTTAGTTCTCCTTTTGCCTCCTTCCTAGCCATTGCTACAGTACTTGACCAGGCCATGGATCAGAGTAGGCTTATAAAACTTAATCTAAGGATTGCAGATATTAACTCTTTTATGGAGTTCCCCCAAAGAGCCTGGAAGAAGTCCTAAAATGTCTCTAAGTATGATTTCTAGGAAGTAACTACAATTGTTTGCAAATAGCTCTACTTTGTAATTCTACAGAAAAGCATTCTAAAGATGTAAAATACTGGTTGAATCTAACTGTAGGCTTAATTTGATTAGAAACAGCCATTATCAATAGTCTACATTTTCAATATCCAATTTCAGTATTTTCCTGCTGATAAAATTCCTCTTGAAATTGAGACAATTAGAGCCTCACATATTTTATATAGTGGTACTCTATTACATTACTATCGCATTGTTTTATAATCCATGCCATTGAACTGTATTATTGAAACTGAAAAACAATATCTACGATTTAAAAAAAAATCTCTTTGGATGATGTCCAAGATGATATTATAAGAAATCTGGAGTTAACAGGAGGTTACAGGAAAATGAGTCTCCTAAACATTTCAATATTTTAGGATCATCACTATCTTAGAGAAGTTTTTTATTCCTCAGATGGCTTCTTATCAACATGAATGGATCTTGAGAATATCATGCTAAGTGAAGTAAGTCAGAAAAAGTTAAGAACCATATTGATTTCACTCACATGTGGGATTAAAATTGAAAGCAAAAAATGTACCCTGGATAGGGGGAGAGGGAGGCTCAGTTGGTTGAGCGTTGTCTCATACATGAAATAGTAGAGGGTTCAATTCCAGTCAGGCCACACACATAGCCAGGTTGTGGGTTCAGCCAGGTTGTGGGTTCAGCCAGGTTGTGGGTTCAGGGCACACACATGATCAGGGTGTGTATAGAAGGCAACCCATCGATGTTTCTCTCTCACATCGATCTTTCCCTCTCTCGCTCTTCTCTCTCTCCTCCCCTCCTCTCAAGAATAAAGGAAAACAATCATATTTAAAATGTTAAAAAAAAAAAAGAACAGACAAGAAAGACAACAACTCAGACACAGACATCAGTATGTTGGTTACCAGTGGGAAAAGGAGTGGGTGGGTAGTAAAGGGTAAAGGGAGCCAAATATATGGTGATGGAAGAAGATTTGACTTTGGGTGGTGGGCACACAATGCAATATACAGATGATGTATCACTTGAAACCTATATAATTGTATTCATCAATGAAAACAAAATGTATTTGTATAGAAGTATCTCTTCAATGAAAATCATCTAGTTCCCACTTTCTAAAATACGAAATTGTCTTAACATGAAAAAAAATGTCAGAATGTCTTCAGTGCATAGTGTGACTTCATTCTTGTAAGAAACTATTTAAAATCATTGTTTGTATTCATTAAGTTGAGTTTGGAACATTTTAATAATTAAAATATCATAGATTTCTTTAAAAAAGTAAAAGGTAGGAATACTAGATTCAAAGGTACACTGTTACTATACTAGTCAGTCAGGCACTGGGGAAAGGTTAAGAGAAAAAAGCATCATTGTACTGGTGATATACTACCATATTATTTAAGAACATAAAAATTTCTTGACACAAACTATAAGGTTATAATATGTATAATTTCAATATTTATATTGCTGTATGTATTTTTTCAGGATATATGAATATACTACCAGAACATCCAAACATCTACTTACTAAGATCAAAGAAATGCTGCCAGAAGGCTTCCATCCACTTCTGAAGATCTTCTTTATTGTCAGCTGCAAAAATATGAGCTACAGCCTGTCCAGAAACAGGGTTGGTGACAGAGAAATTATAGACTCTTTTCTTGGTATTCTCCATTGCCCGAATTCTGGTCTCCTAAAAATTAAGAAAAAATTGGTGTTTTACAAGAGAATATTTTTGTGGTGATCAAATAAATGTTTTATTGCTTAACTACTGTATTTACACCAAATGCAATTATAATCTTATTGCCAATCATTTAAAATATGTAAATTTGAGAATTTTCAATATTAAAATTCAAATATAGAGGATTTATAAAAATGCTTTAGATGAGAAATACTAAGTAATGTTTTAAAGTATGCTACATATAGCACTTAGATTACATGAGATTAAAACAAATACTATTTTGCTCTCTCAGTTTAAGTAGGAGTTTGCTATCTTTTATATACATCTTAAAATCTGCAATGAAATAAGTACAGTATGTCATAATGGTAATGTGAATTATATTAAATATATTTTCAACAGCAAGAGAATCAGTAAAGTATGTTTCTTATTCGAATATTCATGCATAATATATAGTGTTATCAGTCAAAACAATAAAACCATAACTTAGTGTTTACTGTACCCAAACAGTTAGGTTTTCCCCATTAACATTGATTTCATATGTAGCATTCATTTATAAACCTCATAGCCAAAGATCCATAAAGTAATACCATTCTCATAATGATAAAAATTATTTTTCAAACGTTAAATGCAAGACTCTAGAACAAAGGCAATGATTTCATTCATTTGATAGTCTAAACTGGTTTTCTGAGTGTTACTATGTATAACATTGTGGTGATGTTTATTGTGTTTACATATAGAAGAGATAAGCCTATTCCCAAGTCATATACAGGCACTGCCATGCCACATGACAAGCTTGAAACTACATGTAGTTTCCAAGGAATCTTAGTGGGTAATGTCTGGAATAGAACAATCTATTATGCAAAGATAGAGATTTGGCTGCCTGAGCATATCCATTAGAAATATATGTGCGCCACATATGTAAGATTTTCTTCTAATCACATTTAATAAGAGAAATTTGGTGAAAATAATTATGTAATAATTATTACATTATTTTAAAGTAGTGTATTTTATGTAACCCAACATATCCAGAATACTAACATATAATAGATAAAATATTTTTTGAAATATTTTAGATTCATTTTTCATGCTAAGTCTCCAAACTCTAGTCTATCTTACAGAACATCTCAATTTGGACAGCCACACTTTAAGAGCCTAACAGCCACTGATGGCTGGTGGTTACTCTATCGGGTAAAGCAGTTCTACAGGAATGTGGTTAAGCCTACCGGAATGTGTGCAGAAGAATATTTGGCTGGCAGTTACAAAAGCTGGTTAAGAATGAGAAGAAATTCTTCACTTTGATGAGTATAGAGTGAAGAGAGACTGTACAGTCACACCAAAACCAACATACTCATATAATAATGTCGATGTGGAAATTTATGGAAGTAGCAGAGTTAGGGAAAAAAATCTATCCATCCCTGAAATATGGGTATATACATGCAGGTGAACACTACATACTACATAAGTTCTTTCTTGAAGGAATTCTTATTAAAAAATCACAAGAGGAAAAATGTATGCTATATAAAGTAGCAACATAACTTGAAAAATCTGGAGCATCACAAATATCATTTAAAAAATGTACGAATGTGAGTTCAGAGAATTGTAATGGAATTATGACCAGCATTTTAATTTTACCATAACCAGGTATTTTTATACTCCTACGAATTGGTAATAAATGTTGAGATTTAAATCTTTTTAAGTAGTTATTTATAAATATAAAAAAAATGCTGCCCCAAATGGCATCCTTGGAGCCTGAAAATGCATGTACTCAATCTTTTTAAGTATAAAGCTTATTATCATTAGAAGAGAATGACTTAGCTCTAGAAAGAATCTTTAATATGATTCTTTATCGGATTAACTGAATGCTGACTCAGCAAAGGGTAATGGAGAACGCTTTATTGGTGTTAGTATTTTTTAAAACCTCTAACAATAAAATATAAAATATTCTTGTTGCTGAAATTGTGCTTTCCTCCACCTAAATCCATTTTAAAACAAATTTCTGACTACCTTTTGTATGTAGGATTAAAACAAATTCAACTTTTAAATAAAAGTGTTGATTTCTTATAGATGAATATGCACATTTTAAAATAATACCAAGGTATCTTTTCAAATGAAAATAGCTAAGTAACAAACCTGATTAAATCATTTATATCCATCTAAGAGAATATAACACAATAATATATAAATGCTATACACACTTCATTAACCCTGGTAACAATAAATAATGCTATTTAAAAAAAAACATGAGAGGATTTTAAAAGGTGCTAATGAGCACAAATTAGATCATTTGAATTAAGTTCTATATTTTATCACCCAAATTAATTTAACTAATGGAAAAATTTTAAACCAAAAAGCTGCATGGCAAAGAAAAAGTGATTTAAAAAAGTTTCTGATGTCAGAAAGTTCATGCAAGCTATTTTTCAGTGTGGGCAAAGTATAATATTATTCAGGACTTCACTTCTCAAACAAAGAATAGATTAGAAAACAGAAGGTGACTTTTAGAACTGTTATCATGTGCTCACACAATGTAGAGATAATGGAAGTATCTCCTGAAAGGAAGATATGAAAGGAAAGAAGTTAGGTATTTTTGCCTCCACTATTTCTGCTAAATGATTGAAAGATATTTAATGAATAAGAGAATGAGAAAAAGAACAACTAAGATAATAAAAAGTTTTACATCGATAGTATCAGATCCCAGAGATAGTGTCTAATTCAATTCCTTAATTTATAGATGAGGAAACTTTATGTTCTGTCCAAGGTCAGAATTTGTTGTCTTGTTTTGATAATCCCAAACCTTCTAGTTGATTTAGCACACTTTATTTGTATTGATTTGAGGATAGATTTGAGATTATTCACTGTGAAATTTTAATCCTCGCTGGCTCGTCTTTTGTCAACCAGCACATATTGAACGACAACCTTCCACAGCCAACTGAAGTCAATAAAAATATAATTTGAGAAACCAATTTTGTAACAAAATATAATTAACTCTGAAGTCAAAGGAAATTTTCTTCTAGGCTGTTCATTAGTTTGAATTATAAGTATGCTGCATGCTTCATATCTATGGTGATGGAAAATTACTAGATCAGGACAGATTTATGAATTTTGACTACATGACTTTTTAAAAAAATCTACTATGTACCCAGATTATGGTCTGTAAATACCCTTTCCCACTAAAAAGAATCAGAGCTCTTTAGAGAAATGGCCGATTCCCAGCCTGGGTCAGGAAATGTACAGGATGATCCTGGAATATCTTGTCCTACCAGAAATCAAAGATTACTAGGTTTTATCTAATGGACCAACTTGATGAGGCTCCCAGTAGCCAAAGATGGGACACTCTGTATATCAATAAGAATAACAATGTTGCTGGCTAAAATAAAGATTTGTCTTTATATATATTCTAATAACAAATAAAGCATATGTTCACAACATGTGACAAGAGATGTTTGAAATATGTAAAGTATAACCATAAATTAAACCAAGCATTAGGTATAATTAGTACTAGTGTGATATGATATAATTATTTTCAGTTTATGTCAATGAAATCAGACATAAACTCCTACTAAAAGAAAAGGTGGTTGAAAAAAATCATTTTTTCTATATTTATAAAGGTCAGTATGAATAGTTAATAGGGTTCAGACATTAAGAGGATTAAAATAATTCAAAGAAAATCCCATGTGCTTTATAATAATTTTGCTTGCTAGGATCTATTATAAAAATAATGGTTAAAAGCAAATTCAAGACAATTTAACAAAGGTCTATCACCCCAAGTAGTGTTATTGATTTGTTTAGTAGAGATTTTATTATTCGTTAAAATGAAGTGATGCATAATATTTCAAATCAAGAAAAGACTATTGATCTCAAAGGCCCATACTTCTTTTCCATTCCACTCCCCACCCTATTGGCAATGGGTAAAACTCTGGTTAATAAATGCTTTCTACAATGTATAGGAGATTCAGTGGCTCCAGTTAAGTACCCCTTATTGAGAATGTCTTACTCAACAACATTCAAAGGAAGTTTTTTGAAGTTGAAGCAATCACTTTGAAGTAAATCATCCTTTCAAATTTGGATTGAAAAGAAGAGGGGAATAGCTTTTAGGCTTTTCTTTCCTTAATGTGACTATTTCCACAGATGGCTCCCTATGAAAATTAATGAACTGACTTAGCCTTACAGGAAATGCCATTTTAGAAGGACAAGAATTATAGTTAAAGAACAAATCCTGTGATCAAAATAACAGAACTATTACTAATATACCTTAGCAACTGCAAAATGCATGTTTTCACATAATTTTTAAAGTAGCATCAGGCAAAATTATTATTTTCTAAATCATGAGAGAAGAAAGACAATCAAAAGAAAGGAACTCTGATTTGTATTTAATATTTAACATTATTAAGCATAAAAAGATCTTAGAGCCTCAGCATTGGAAATATACTAAAAACTGAAAAAAAAATTATTCTTAAAAGTTTTATTTGGTGTTTACCTGTCCTATATATCAGAAAATGCCATGCTGACATTTATCAAAGTTCCTGTTTTAATAGCATGTATCCTTTAAACATTTCCAAAGTTAACAAAAAAACAACTAAGACATGGACCTTATATTTGAAAACCAAGTAATTTAAAACATGGAGTAGATAAAAAGCTGTAAGTTTACTGTAATCTTGGGGACATTCCTTTGCTATTTCTGGAGGGGTAACATCACTCCAATACATATTGCAAATATAATACCAACTAGAGGCCCGGTGCACAAAAATTTGTGCACTTGGGGGGTCCCTCAGCCCAGCCTGTGCCCTCTCGCAGTCTGGGACCCCCCAGGGGATGTCCACCTGCTGGCTTAGGCCTGCTCCCTGGGGGATTGTGCCTAAGCTGGCAGTGATACATCCCTTGGGGGATGTCTACTTGCCAGCGGGCCGAAGCTGCAGTTGAACATCCATAGAGCTGCTGAGGAGGCAGGAGAGGCTCCCACCATCGCCGCTGTGATGCCATCAGCCTGGCTTGTGGCTGAGCAGAGCTCCCCCTTG